CATTTATTTCAACAAAGTAACTGTATTCTGAATACCACCTTTTTAAACGGTAACTGTAACGGAATACAGTTACTCATATTTTGTATTTTAAATACGTAACGGCGGTACATGTATTCCGTTACTCCCCAACACTGCAGCTATCGGACTCAAAAACAGGTCATTGGCAGCTAAAGTCATATCATACTGCCAAGAGATGAAAATACTGAAAAATGGTGAAAGCAAAGCTTTCAGCCATGAGATTATTGTTTATGCAATTTTAGGAAAAGATCATAATTCGAAAAGAAAACTATGCTACTGGGGATGGTAATACTGTTATTAAAAATATGATTAAAAACATAAAAACCGCTTGTCCACTTTTTTAAAGTTTATTTTAATCAGAGTATGAATAGTGTAAAATTCGAGCACTTGAGAATCAGTCTTGAATGTTTCTGTGTAACCATGATTTCATTTGTGATTTCATCACATTGCATCAAAAAATACATATTCTGCTGTTTGCCATAAAATTATTGATTTTAATTAATTCAGTGATGCCACATTAAAAAATACAGATATTCAGTAAGATAGTTTGTTTTCATAGGTGTTTCTTAACTAGACAGAATGACCAGTTGGCACAGATGCAAAGGAAAGGTGCAGCTGAACACTTTACATATTTTAGGCTGGTTAATGAACAGCCTCAGATTATCTGCATCATACTCAAAGCTCATTGCAAACCACAAGATCTTCAACATCAGTGCAATAAACAAAGTTATGATCGGTTTAATAGAATAGAACAAGATCCTTCTCACAATACATATTAATAAAAAAACTGTGTTCGCTGGGCAGGAAGTGCCTACACCAAATGCTTCTTTTGTCAGATCCAAGTCTCAGTCTCATATAAGTCATTTAACTCTGACGAGTGAACTCGAAATTTCAAGTTAGCCCAGGCAGTCAGGAAGTGCTGTGAAGTTACGTAATGTCCTTGTTACGCTTGAAGCAGAAGTGGAAGAAATTATGTAATTCAAGACTGGCAATGCTCACTAGAAATTTTAACTTATTTTACCAACTCAAAATTTTAACTTAACGTCAAAAAAAATTTTTTTTCTTAAATTTCTACTTGTTAACTTGAAATGTTGAGTTATTCTTGGAGTTACTGGAGTTTGTTTCCAGTAGCAGAAACCAGCTTCCACAGAATGTTTCAGACTGGTGTCATTGGAAGGTCAGGGTAACTGATTCATGACGTACCAACTGTGTTTGTAACTCCACCCACAGCATTTGTCCAAACCCAAGCTCTTTCCCGTCTTCTTAGAGCCAATAATGTAAACTACACAACGTGTGTCACTGACATCATTAGAAGCATTAATGGTTTTTATATTAATGACTTTGTCCTTGTGTCAACTCAGAAGACAGTAGGTTGTTTCTCTGACATCCAAAAACATTTATTATTGTTAACAAACAAACAAATCCAGGATTGAGCTCCTGAAACACTAAAATGTTTAAAGAATAAAAACGGAAAAGACTTAGAATTTAAAATTGTATGATTTACAAACAAAAACTATTTCCAGCACTATACAAAAGTCTTGGGTCAATCGTCCCTTTTTAATGTTTTGCTAGGAAAATGGGAAATAGGTTTAATCAATAGCTGCACCTAATTTACATGGAAAAACAGTACATGAGGCAAAACCAGGCTTTGTACATTTCTACTGGCCAGCTCTGTTCTTCAACACAGGCCGGACTCTCTTAGGTGCCATTTGTTGTACTTCCTTTAAATAGTCTTCAGGTCTACAGTTTTCCAAGCATCTTAAAGGAGGTAGATGATCTGCACTCTTTCAACAATCTCTCCTTTGTTCCTGTCGGTGTCTATATAATCCCACACTACCTCCTCCATGTT